TAGCCCTCCCTCTCTGTTCAATGCCATTATAACCGATACTACCCTACTGATAGCTATATAGGTCTGGCTTGCCTGCTGAAAAGAATGCCTTCTACACTCATCCAGACCCTCTTGTGTTACTCACCCAATTCTAAGGAGGACTACTATAGATGAAACTACTATTATGAAAAATAATATAATACTATTTTTTTCAGAAACAGAGTCCTGCCTTCTTCTATTTGTGTATAGTTAAGGCTTCAGACTGCCCAATAAGATGAGAACGAGAAATCTTCATTTCCTACTATGAGTGCAATATTGGAAACAATAAAAACTAAAATGCCAGCAAAAGCATAAGAAAAGAACATTGTGGTTTTGACAAGTCTGGGAAAAAATATATCAACAAAAGTACATCAGAATTCATAGGTTATAATATTGAATATAGTTTTTAGAATTGACCAATAATATTTAAGTTTTAAGTAAAAACAAATATTTTTTGGCATAGCCAGTCTTGAACCATAGATAACAAATGTATTAAATTTGTTTTCAGTTGCTAGTGTTTAAGTCATCAAGTTCTCTGACTGAAAGAAAAAAATATATAATTAGGAGACCCAAAAGAAAGGCATGCTGGACAAATTTTAGAGTTGCCAAAGAAGTACAGTTTTTAAAAAGCAGATTTTTTGGTAGGGGAAGGTTCGACAGTTTTTAATAATTTTGCAATATTTCCTGGAACTCTGAGTGTGTATATGTGGTTTTCTTTTTATTTCTTCAGAAAAAAAAAATCAGAAAGCTATTGAATATATCTGAGACCCTTGGTCACTATTCAAAGCCAACAAATGAGTTTTCTACCTACTACATGCTGATTGATTCTACATGTATATCTCCTGTAGTTGTGATAAACTTTAGGGATTGTTTTTATTACATTTTACAAATGAGAAAAAAGGCACAAAGAGGTAAAGTGTTTGCACAAGGTCACACATCTATGATAAGCTGACTTGTACACTGCATTGGGAGCTATGAAGGAGACAATTTCTCAGTGCCACTTTTACAAAGTTTCTCTCTATTTGAAGTCAAATATTGTCAGGAGGGAGTGACTGGTGAACTTCACGGTGTAATCCCCAGGACACACTCTGTTTCCAGTTAGCCTCTACAGGGAGGGATCCTGCCTTGGGGAGCCATATAGAGGTAGGGACATCAGTAAGAGTGTAGTACATGGTGTCATGCAGCATGTTCCCCTCATGAAATTCCTTAGAATGAGTTCCTTGAAGAAGTATCTACAAAGGTACTGCCTCCCTAGGCTCCAAGGGTACCAGTCATCCATTGCCATTTAGGAAAGACTTCTTCCCAGTCCCTTGCATAGGGGACCAACCAAAAAAGTTTGAAATTTGGGGGCCAGTTCCATAGCCTAGTAGTTAAGGGAACTGGATCCCATATGGTCAACCACAGTTCAAATCCCAGCCTTGGCAGTTTGACGAACCCATTGGATCCATGTGTCAGTGTGCCCCAAATCCCAAGAAGATGGAGAAATAGATGAGAAGGGATTGGGGCATGACCACACCCCATTGAGGGTTCTTTTCTCCCTTTCTCTCTCTCTCTCTGTCTGTCTGGCAAGTGCACACAACTACTGGCAATTAACAACAACAGCAAAACAGACAAATCTGAAATATTTAATCTTAGAAGCTTGAAACAAGCACATTTTGTTTTTACTATACGCTTGTGCCAATCAACTTTAGAAACAACTTCTACTCTCTTCTTCCAACCCATGATAGAAATTTTCTCATTTCCTTAGCTCAGATACCAAAAAAAAAAAAAAAATCTTTAGCAAGAAATTATTGGCGTGCTAGAAGGGAGTAGTCCTGGGAGGACAGTCAAATGCCTGTCAGAGATGTGGGATGTGAGCTCTATGCACAGACCAGTGGCTTTCAAACTTGAGTGGGCATAAAAATTGCCAGGAAGGTTTATTTTGCATGTAGACCCTGCCTCCCACTCCTCTAGTTCTGCTCCCAGAGCATCTGATTACAGAGGTCTAGGGTATACCCCAGGCTCCTGTATTTGAAATAACCACCCAAAAGGATATTGACACAGAGATCTGTGAATCACACTTGGAAAAATTCTTCCCAGATTTGTGTATGCATCCAGAAAAAGAGGGCAAGCAAATAGAAAATGTAAATGGGTTCTGGAGAAAATCTCTGTGAGAATTAGGCAATGCCTCATTGCAATCTACACTAGATTATGTCAGGAAAGGGTGTTTGTCAGGGTGGGGAAGTGTTTTACTTCAACGGGGGCCTTTAAAGGGTCTGGCCCTGGATGACTCTACTGCCGTCAATGGACAGTAATAGCAAAAGCAAGAAGCAGTAAATGCAAGAAGTTATGTCAGCAGCTACAGTGGTCACGATTTCTGGTGCTTTATTGTAGAGAAGAGAGTGATGACTTCCATTTGGCAGTTAGGACTTGTTTGACACAAAATCAAGGCAGCTGCTGGACCTCCCATACGAATTATAGGGAGGATCTGAGAGGAGAGGGTCTTGAGGATTTCAGTAAGGCTTAACCACACTTGCTCTAAAATTGAGAAAAGTCAAGCATGAAGTCTCTAGTGGAGAGGACTAGCATTAGGCCAATTTTTAATTTTAATTTTTCATTTATTTATTTTTATTATTATTCATACATGAAATCACTATACATCATTTAGATTGTGAAGAGACTTTACGCAGCATGATATACACTTCAGTCCAGCCCAGTTGAGACCACCATACGCATCCTCATCTACAGATAATAGACCTTATCTGTGTCCCACAAGTGTCTTACCTCTCCATTTGCCCCCCAAATTTCCTACACTCTTCTCTCTCACACTCTCTATCCACTTTGTCGCTAGTGTCCATTACAATTTAATTGAGTGCTGCTGTGGGCTAAGTCCTATGCTTGGTATTGACCCTTAACATTCTAGTACTGGGGCTTAATCAGAATGTGTAAAAAGTGTAATTTTACCATTGTCGCACAATGGTAAAATGAATATCCCTCAAGGTCGACCCACATGGGAGGCTTCTAGATTCACATGTGGAGATATCCTTGAGTAAGCTGGAAAAGTATGTGCCCATAATTTGGCTAACTGAGGCTGAGGGTAGGCTGGGGCATCAAGACTGTATTTGGTGTGCTATCTCTCTGTCTCTCTCTCTCACTCATGGAATAAATTTAAAAATAAGTTCTAGTTTTTCCCTCACCCACTACTCCCACCCCGAGGCTGGGACATCAAGACTGTGTTTGGTGTGCTATCTCTCTGTCTCTCTCTCACTCATGGAATAAATTTAAAAATAAGTTCTAGTTTTTCCCTCACCCACTACTCCCACCCCAACTCTTCCCAGTCCTTATCATGCCTCACATTCCTTAATCTTTAGAGCCTCCACTTAACTAATCTTACCCCACAAATGTTAACTGGATCTTCAAAGTGTTACCGCCCTCTCAGCGTTATTTATGGAGGGCATCCTTAGAAGCATCAGATGAGTTCAGAAGTGTGCCAAGGGAAATTTCAATGCTAAGATAGAAAATGATCTCCATTGGTGACATTACCTCTATCTTAGAAAATGATTACAGCCAAAATGGCATAAATCCATGAAACTGACTCTAAATACTGGATGCTAACAACAACTGGAGTAAAGTTTCCATTTATGTTTCCATTGGTGAGTGGCATATATCCAAGAACACTCTTCTGCAAGTGGGACACACCCCATAATGACAGTGTTAGTACACTCCGTTCCTCAGCCCCTGAGACAGACAAGACTTGGTACCAGATAGGTGGCTAAGCATAAGCTTGTGCGGCCGTAAGCATCCTGCATGTTAATGTTGGCTCCCATCTTCAACAGCAGCTTCACTGTGTCCACTTGACGTCCAGAAACCGCGTGCATCAGGGGTGTACATCCTGGAATGAAACATTTCAACAGCTCTTAAAAATGTTTGACTTAATGAAATTTATGAGCAGACTTTGCCTGTTCATTAATTTTTCTCTTTGCAATATAAACTCAGCTGTCAAACTATACAAGGCTGGAGATGAAGATGATTGTTGCTACATTTATATAAACTATGATTTCTTTTTCCTGAAGTTTTTATGGTCTTTTGTAGTTTTGTAATAATTGGTTGTTAAAGCATATTGTGTGATTGATAAACACTGCCTATGACTGCCTTGAGAATCAGTATAATTTGGGACATAACAGACAGTTTACTCTGACTTGGCTTGAACAATGTAGAATCTGGACATGCCTTTGGAAAACAGCTCCAGCTGCAGACAGGGTCCGCACACTTATATAGCGGGAAGTGACGGTGACCTCACCTTGGGTTGCACAAATTCCTCCAAAAGGGCCACCTGTACTGAAATACTTCTTTATTTTCAGAATCAATATAGGCCAAGATTTTTTTTTAGTGTGTTTTCTCCCTGAATAAAAATAGAGATAAATTATGCATTCTGATGAACTTTGCAGAGGTGTTGGAACAACCCAGCATCATAAGGCAGAATCCAGGTGCATCACCCTCCTTTAGGGGAAGAAAGCAAACCTCAGTCACAATCTGCTGCCCAGCTGAGTCTTGTTTGGAGGTCTTCTGATTGGAGATTCATGTTGAGACTGTGATTCTCTTTGCAAGCTCTGACCTCAAGATCTCTGGGAATGAGTAAGTGATGGTATTGCTGTGCTTACTGAAATATTGCAGCTGGCAACACGATTTCTCCCTATTTGTTTTTTAATAAAAAATTTTAAATTGTTTTATGGTTTACATTTAAGGCTTTAATGAGTATTGAGTTAATTTTTCTATAACTTTAAACTTAGGCTGAGTATGTTTGCCTTCCTTCCTTCTTCCTTTTTGCTTAAGGATATTGAATTTTCCCAGCACCGTTTGTTAAAGAAGCTGCCTTTCTTTTACTGAGCTATATTTTCACCTAACTCAAAGGTCAGTTGGGCAAATTTGTGGGAACTTTTTTCTGAGTTCTCTGTTCTTTTTCACTGCTCTATATGTTTTTATTTCAAGTGAGGAAGGGAAAG